AATTTTTGACTATTTACCTTTTTAGGTGGCGATAAACATACTTAAATTTCAGAATAAAGTTTTGTTAGTTTATTGCAGTGGTTCCCTGCTTTTCTTCCTCGCCTGTGTCCAAGACAAGCCTGGTCCCCTAACTTCAACTCCTACCTGCATGCACACATTAAAGCAACACTAAAGAGTTTTAACACTTTAAGCTATTGCTTTAAAACTGGTTTCAGTGGTTCTTGAACCATAAACTTGTGCAACTTCACACTGGTCCTCTGCTGAGCAGAAACTGCATTTACCAATTCTGTAGGAACACTAGTGGGAGGTCTCTAGCTGCTTTACATCAATAGCTGTTTACAGCGACTATGAGGCTACAAGTTAGCTTCTTTAGTTTGCCAACTGTCAATAAAAAACACAAGAAGAAGAAAAACAGGAATTTAGCATTATTTTGTTGGCATCATGGCTGAGCCTGGAAGTAGCAGTAAGAGAGTTAGTCTTTGGAGGTAAAGCGAAGCGCTAAAACCAGAGTGAATATTAGCGCGACCTAAATTTTGACTAAGCTAAAGAGGGCTATGGAATCCAGGACAGATGGTGACCTGGCTTTGTTGTTGCTGGACTTCTCCAACGGTGTGGATCTGTTTACTCCATGGCTTATTTATTACCAGTTGGCTCATGGTAGCATTGGCTTGTTGTTAGCGTTAGCTACAACAGGCTGCAGCAGGGTTATTAACAACAGTTGTAATTCTGCTTGCAACCAGTAGGAGAAAAAGCAGGAAAGTTTACGGTTGCTTTAAAAGTGACTCATTACAAACCTTTGTTTGCAACAAATTGGTTTTTATACGTATTCTCATTGTTTTACACAGTAAGTATTGTTAGTGGCATTTTGTAATTTTGGAAACCTTACAACCTACACACAGACAATCTGCAGTGAAATGAATTTGTCTTTTCGGATTGAATAAAATCGGCATTGAAGTCTGGAGTGTGTTATTGTTGCACACATGGCTGTCATACATGAGACCCGAGTGCCTTTTCTGTCCCACCCTGTGCTTTTTTATTCCCCATTTTATTTTAAACCTCATCTTTGTTTCCTTCAGAAGTCGCTCCCTTCTCGGTTAAGTCTCTAGAAGGTCTTGGCGAGTCTTAAAACGAACCGTTTCACAGATTTTAGAAATCCTCTTTGTCTAGCTGATAAGTCCAGACTTCTGCTATTAACACAAATGTGATGCAGGCACAAATAAATAAACACATGAATAAATAAATAAATAAATAACCACATAAATAAATAAATAAATAAACACATAAATAAATAAAAAATGAAAACCTACACAAGCTGCAATCTCACAATCATACAGTGTCACAAAAAATAAAAATACATTTTGTTTCTATCTGTATAAGTCCAGGGATTTTTATTTTGTGCCTTTTTTCACAGAAGATCATGAGACCAGACTGGATTTGATTCTAACTGCAGAATCACCAAATAGGAACGTTATGCTCTCATCTGCTTATCTTTTAAAGGCTTTTTTTAAAACAGGAAAAAAATGTACATTTTTGCCTTGTTCCTTCGTTATCTCTAGGTTGGGAGTTGCTTTTTTCTTAAAAGTCGATTTAAAATAAGAGTCAAAAATCCTCTGAGGCCCCCACACTGAGGCTAATCTCCATGGCTGTCTAGAGAGGGGCTTCTCTGTTGTTCTTCTCAGAATTTATAACATTTTCCAAACCAGCTGCCTCCACCTGTCTCTCCTTTCCTCCACATGTAGCTGGAAACTGAACAGTGAAATGTCAGCAAGGTTCACACGCTGGCTAACACGACTGCTGGATCCGTGCTCTCCTTATTAACCGACCATCACCTGGACAGACTCCTGCTCTCCGTCGACGCTCCTCCCTGAGCCACACAGGAAGTGATGGAAATCTCAAATCAGCTTCCTTTTATTACAGTTACAACACAAACATCTCCTGAGGGTTTGTACGCTCCATCTCTGTCACGATGAAATAATTGGGATAATTCTGAACAGATGTGGAACATGTTAACGAGCCACCGAGCTAAAACATGATCAGACAGAGGATGATAGTGAAATAAAACAGCTCTGAAGACTCTTCCTCCTGAAAAATGCAGCTAGTTTCTCCCTAAAAAAACACACATCTGGTTTGAATGCTTGCAGATTTTGCACTAAAGTACTTTGGGGGCAACGACATGAGGAAGAACAGCCATCACCGCAGAGGAAAGCAGCTGATTGATGTGCTGACTGCTCCTGCAGATTTCAGATTATTTTTAGAAACATCTGCCATTTTCAACAAAGAACATAATGCTCTAAATGTTAATATCTGCATGACATGGAAAACAGCTTCAGGAAGTAATAAATTCAGATTTATCAGTTGCTTTTTTAGCTTTTGCATCCAGACCAAGAGATTTAGCACCAAGTGTTTATTTTTTCTATGTTAAACATCCTCTTTATTGGTTATTATTTTATTTTATGAACAGTGTGTGCTTATGACTGGTTATCTTTTATAGATATCAGTCAGAAAGCAGACTGTTGGCATTAAATCTGATTAAAAACATCATGTTGCAGTTTGATTTCTTTATAATGTTAAAATAAATATAGCTTCAGTTCATAGAACTTTTCATCAAAGCTTTTATTTATTTTATCTACCATGAACAACTACAGCTGCAAAGAACAAAAAAATACATGATGTAAAACTGGGGTGTCGTTTTCACCTACAAGCAACAAAAAGCTATTTAGGTAATTGCCATAACGCAAATAGTGAGAGGCTATGTGCAGGAAAGTGTTTGAAGAGTGGTCGTGATCAAGATAAGATTGGAAGTGTTGCTCTGTCTGCTGCAGCTGAGAGGAAACGGCAGTGTCTGAGTTCCTGATGTGATCCAGACGCTGAGAGGCCAAACCTGCAGAAACAACCTGAGCAAACATGCTTCAGAGAGGATGAGCATCTGTGAGATGTCCCTTCAGCTGCAAAATACAAAACTTTTGTTTAAGGTGAGAAAATGGGTCACAGGAAAATGACTTTTTCATCATAAAGAGGTGGTAATTATGACAAAATATCCTTTAAAGTAAACATTTATTCTTTTTTTTATATAATAAAATGAGTCAGTTTGACAATCAAAAATTAAATAATGCCTTATTCAAAATGAAAAGTGCTTCATATCACTTTGACTGCTGCTGTCAGGAACCAGTTTTTTTTCTTAGTTTGGTTTAGTTTCAGCTTAGATGGTTTGTTTAGGAGAAGGTTTGTGAGGCTTTTCACATTTCTGTGTGAAAATCAACACAATAAAAGACAAACTGCTGCAGAAATAATGGCTTCTGCTTCCCAACTACATTTGAAACTTCTATTTCTGTTTCCTTATTCAGAATCTAGTGTTTTGGGTGGCATATTACACAACCCATTACTATTACTAAGCAGACACCCCACCCCCTGGCCTTTTGTCCTAACCTTAAGGACACCAGACAACCCTAACAGTAACATTAATAAAGGCTCCATTTGTTTATTAATGCTTAATAATGCACTAAGTAATGGTAATAAAAGGACCATTGAGTAAAGTGTTACCGGTTTTGTTGTTTAAAGTTTTCCTGCAGCTCTGATTAAACCCAACCTGGAATCCTTTAAAAAACACGAACACATGAGTTGCTTTTATGTTTTAAAATGCACTTAAATGACTTAAATTCCCCTGATCTAAACGTCTGATGCTTTTGTTTTTCATAACAAATTAATATCAGGTTGATTAGCACCTGATGATGTCTGCTCCTGGGATAATAATAATAATAATAATAATAATAATAATAATAATAATAATAATAATAATAATAATAATAATAATGATAATAATAATTATTATTATTATTATTATTATTATTATTGTTGTTGTTGTTGTTGTTGTACCTGTTGAGGTGGTATGTGTGCGCTCTCTGTTAGAGGAAGCAGCTTTTTGGATGCCAGATGATTGATGCTCTAGTTAATCCGGAGCTCTTTGCGCCTACCCAGGAGGGTGAGGCGGTCCCTTTGTGCTCCTCCGTCCCCATGTGAAGCGAACCAAAAGCGGGAGAGCGAGGGTCACAGCCATTCGGCAGGGTACATCCTTCCCACCGGCGCATCTGCATGTGAAATCGCCATTTCACCCCTCCACACTCCCTAATTGTTGCTAAAATTATTTGTGAAATTGCCTTCCACCAGGAGTGTTTTCCACGCCAATTGTCACAGGTTTTTTTTTAAAGCTCGCCCGGCCCACCGAGTTAACACCTCTCTCCTCCGTGTGCGCTCTTTCTGTTGGAGTTTAATTGTAAGGAGTTGCTTCGTTATTTTTGAACAATTACCTTTGAGCCACGCACGCGCGCTTCCTGCAGCGCGAGCCAACCTGTTGTCGTCAATACCGGGTCGATGATCCAAACGTTTGGTCTAATTAGGAGTGCCGCTTGTTCACGCAGCTTTAATTGAAAGGTTAACAAGCTAAAGACGTTTTAAAGTTTAACCTCTGGCTCTAACGCAGGAATTGGTGGGAACGGAGCTACTTCTGGACTCTGAGGATTTTTTTTTTCAGATTTTAAACAGGATTATTATAGGGAAAAAATGAAAATAAAAGTTTTTTTTATTGAAAAGCTAATATTTTAATGACAGTAATGATGCATCACATTTTTATTAATATTTAGACATTTTAAATTATTTTGGAACAGTTTAACGTTTACGTTCAGTGCATTTATTTGAGGATTTCATGTAATTTTCCAGGAAAAAGGGAGATGTTTTACAAAAATATCCAAACTCCACGGGTTTGATTTGCTGAAAATCTGAAAACATTGTTTTGTTTTGTTTTGTTTTGTTTTTCATAATCACAAGTCTGGAGTGTTATGAGGGAGGCAGCAGTGAATTAAAAGTCTAGTGTGTTGATCTGATTGGTCGGCCGTTTCCTGGCTAAACCCACTCTCTTTCATCCATAAAAGAAAGGGCAGGGAGCCTATGGGAGCGCTCGGCTGTCTCCTCCTACGACATGCACGAAAGTTGGCCACTTAAACTACTTCCAGCCAGCCAGCAGACATTAGACTGAACCCAAACTACACCAGGGGGAAAGAATAACGCCGTGTTTTTTTTTTCCTCCAGCGCAAAGATATCAAAGGTGATCCGTCTCCGTTTTGCAACTTTATCTGTGTAAAAGGCTTTCATTTCATTTGTTGCGGCGCTCATTTTAGTATTTTTGGCACTTTCATCGCGCCAGAGGAGAGCATCATTTTTGAATTTTCCCCCCCGCGGCGGAAGAAGGGTTTGTCCAGATCCTGCGCCTGGGATTGGGATTTGACAGCAGCAGCGCATTTTTCTGAGCATTCTGAATCCTGGTTTCTTTTTTATTTTTATTTTGGACTTTCAGAGAGACGCAGTGTGCGGTTTTTGTGTTTTTGTCCGTGTAGCTACGGGATGGCTACTTTACCGGGAACAGTGCCTCGGATGGTGCGCCCTGCACCAGGCCAGAACTACCCCCGAACCGGCTTCCCTCTGGAAGGTGAGAGGAAGGACAGCGGCTGCTGGGTTGAACTTGCGCTCCAGGTCTAAGGCTCGACAGCTGCCCGCTCTGTCGTGCTTGTAGCGCGGCGGTGAGCTCAGTTTGTTGTCGGCGACAAGAAATAAAATATAAAAGATGGGTGAACAATGCGCTCTGCGGTCAGGAGTGATTTAAATTTACTCAAACGTCAGAGGAGAATTATGCATCCAGAAATGTATTTCGATTGCCGATAAATGTTGGTTTCCTAATAAATTTAGGAGCACACTCAGATTTCGTTTAATTGCATTTGCATTTAGGCAACATGTAGGCCATTTTCAGTAATCCTTCCTGCTAAATCCGAAAAACAAATGTCATTTTATGTGTTCGTTTTCTTTTCAGAGCACATTAAAATATTGACTCGTAAATGTATTCATCCTGTTGCATAAAAACGCATTTTCAGCACATTTCTAGTCTCATTTTCCTTGTTGGTGATCTAATTCGATTTTTAATTCCAAGTGAGAGGTTTTATAATACTGAGTAGCACATGGGAGGAAAACAGACCCATGTTTGCATGCATTTGTAGGAAACGTTTCCCTATTACTCCCTGTTTCGTGCTCAAGTGCTCTGGACAGAAATGCACCTAAACCACGTAGCTCCCAAGTTACTGGAGCTGCGGGATTTGCTCAAGTGTCCTGCTGCTGGAAATGGCCATAACACACACAGCAAAGAGACGGCTCAAAGGATCACATCAATATTTGTACAGCATGACTAGGAATAATCAAGGTGGGGAGTGTCAGCTTCTTTAGTGTCTCTTGAATGTGAAATTGCTTCCTGAAGTGGCCTTGGATGCATCCTGTCAGGCTGAATCAGGCTGGGCGAATTTGGCACGACGCGCCCTGGGAAATGGATAATATGATAATGCGCGTAAATGCGCCCGATTTCAAATGAGAAACAAATGACACAACTCTGATAAATTTTTAGAGCTCAATTTACGTTCAAGTGATCTTTTCCGGGTCGCTTACTGCTGCTGATGCTGTTATGCTGCTGGATTTTTGAAACTGGTTTGTGTTTTTCTGTGTGTGTTGTTTTGTTTGGCTGTGGCGCAGTGTCCACCCCTCTGGGCCAGGGGAGGGTGAACCAGCTTGGCGGAGTGTTCATCAACGGGAGGCCGCTGCCAAATCACATCCGACACAAGATAGTGGAAATGGCCCACCACGGCATCCGACCCTGTGTGATCTCGCGACAACTGCGGGTTTCTCACGGTTGTGTGTCCAAGATCCTCTGCCGGTACCAGGAAACCGGTTCGATCCGTCCAGGAGCCATAGGAGGCAGCAAGCCCAGGGTGAGTGGCGGCCTGTGCTCATCGATGTGGGTATCAGCAGTCCGGGTTGCACGAGTCATTTCAAAGCTGACAACAACAACAACAATAATAATAATAATAATAATAATAATAATTATTATTATTATTATTATTATTATTATGTTTTATATAAATAGCGTAATTTAATAATAAAATATTGCACATTTTCCACTTTTAAAAAAACAACTAAACATTATTATTTATTTTTAAGTTATGGAATAAAAACTCCATAAAAACAGACAAATTAGAATATACCTATGTTACCCAGGGGAATTAGTGTTTAAACTATTAGGCTAATATTTTTTTTACCATTTTTCACTGTATTTCTGATTCAATCAAATCATATTTTAAATCATTTGTGGAGCGTTTAACATTTATTTTTTGTTGTTTTATTCATGTTTCATTCTTTGTGAAACATTTACCCAGAATTTTTTCCCTTTTCAAAAACCAATTTAAATGAAAATTAAAATTCCATCTATTTCTCTTTTACCTCTTCCTTTCCTCGCGTTACCACTTGGACTCTAAAGCAGGTGGCAACACCTGACGTGGAGAAGCGAATCGAGGAGTACAAGAGAGAAAACCCGGGTATGTTCAGCTGGGAGATCCGGGATAAGCTGCTGAAGGACGGGGTGTGCGACAGAAGCACGGTTCCTTCAGGTGAGGCTTCATCTGGTAAGCTGCACTTCTTTTTTTTTCCTTTTACTAGCAGCGAACACAGCAGAACCACCTCAGAATGAGCGCCACTCTGAATTCAACACGTTTTAAGCCCCAGTTACTGATAATAAAACGCCTCAGTAAGCAAACCTGCAGCTGCTTGACCCAGAAAAAAAGATCCTGTTGAAATGTGGCTTCAGTGCTCCGTACAAGCTGATTGTGTCTGTCACTTCTTATTTTTCTTTTAATTTCAATTTTTTTTTATTCCCAGCATTGCTGCTTCGTGTAAAACTTTTTTCCTGTGCCATTTCTGTTTTCTGATAGGATTATTATGGTTCTGTTATGGGGTTTAGGGCTAATCACCCATTTACCTTTTTGTTGCCATTAGTGAGTTCCATCAGCCGCGTTTTGAGGGCCCGATTTGGCAAAAAAGATGACGAGGATGACTGTGATAAGAAGGATGAAGATGGAGAAAAGAAAACAAAGCATAGCATCGATGGCATCCTCGGTGATAAATGTAAGTTAACGCCTGAAATAACAAGTTATTATTATTATTATTATTATTATTATTATTATTATTATTATTATTATTATTATTGAATAACATGCACAATTGTAAATTAGGAGCAAATGTTTTTTAAATTGAATTCCTACCTCTCATCCTCTTGGGAAATTGTCCGACAAAATATTTTATTTATTTTTTTCGCCCCTCCTGCTTTTTTTCGTTCACTCAATTATTTATGACAGCCTTGGCATGAGGTATTTAACGGATGAAAATTAATTTGTGTAGTGCATTCCTCCTCATCCCTTTACCCATTGGAGGAGCCCCTAAATGACAGTTGACAGTTGACCCATTTCACAAATCAGCCCGCTGACATTTCACCACATGTCAGTTAAAGTGGAAATCGATGTTGCCATTTGCTCTGTTAGTGATGCTGCTATAGGTGCACATCGTGCACGTTTTACTCATTAAAAAAATTAGAATAAATTCAGAAACAAAAACCATTAAATTCTTATTTTATTTATTTATTTTGGTGAATGTTTAACAAGAAATGTTGCTGCTATGATTGCTGGTTTAATCATAAGGCATCTTCTTTTAAATTAGATTTCTGAATTAAATAGGCGGGGAAATCACAAAAGCCTTATTTATTTATTATTTATTTATTTATTTATTTATTTTTTGCTTTAAAACAAGGGCTCTACCAAATATATTTTTTAAACTTGAAGGTGAACTACAAAAGCATCCCCTCCATTGATGCTTTTGGTACAAAAGCTAAAATCCTGGAAAGCATGGCGTTGGTATAAAAAAGCATGGCCTCTCCTTTCACATTCATAAAGCTGCTAAAAGAAAAGAAAAAAAAACGTGGACGAAGGGCAAGAAGACACATAAAAGGAGATGAATTATTCAGAACGCCCCGCTGCTGGATAGTTTTGTAATTTTGTATAATGGTCCGTAGAAGAAGAATCAGTATATAGCGTGAAAACGCTCTCTTTTTGCGGTCACACCACGTATTAATGTTGGGAGAGAAAAAAATGTCACCATTTTGTTGCAAATGTCTGCAGTGTCCACAGAGACTGGCTGTAAACCCTGCTGGGTGGAAATGACCGATGGAGAGCGGTCTTTACGCACAGCTTTACGCACGCTGTGACTCCTTACAACTTTCTATTTTTACCCTGCAAAGCATAAGTGTGTTGCTTGTTTCCTCGCGCTGCTTGTGTTTCTTTAAATTGGGATTGAATTACTATAAGAAGAGACCCGCTCGGTGCGTAATGCAGTTTAGACTACGAGCATCCGGATGGCGTTTAATAACGTTAATACTTATTAGAGTAAGCAATGGAGACGATGGTGGCTGAATAGGTGGCTGTGTTCATGCCGGGTGTAATAGCTTGAAGGCATGGTAAGAAATGTATTTATCCCCAATCAGCCCCTCACTCCCCGAGTTTGAAGCACGGCCCTTAAACGTGGAGAGAGGTTTTAAAGCAGATTAAATGGAGCCTTTTATTTCTTTTCACTTTCATCTCGGAGCGGAGCTTATTGTGGCTCGCCTTGGGCGCAAAATTTGTAAGATTTTTCTCCCGTTTATCCAGATTTTAAGACTTTATTTATTTATTTTTTTATTTGTTTATTAGGTCTGCGTATTTGATTTTTTTATTCCTCCCCCCTCAGAGGTTACATCAGGGATTTATCTCAACTCTAATCTGGCTCTTATAAACTTGTATTTAAATTTCTAACCACATTATAATAATGTGATTTATGTTGCTGCACATAAACACACATAAATTCGTTTTTTCCAGAAAGCAAAACGAGCGTGTTTGTATTAACATTTTTGTCATTTATAAGATCCCGCTTTACGCGTAAAATATACGCAGACGCTTAATTCCTTAAAAATGGGGGAAAGTGGGGCAAAGGCTGCGCAATTTCTTTTTCTTTTGCGCCACAACAGCCAGATACAGAGTCAGCTGTCCAGCGTCAATTTGCCACACAGATGCACCCTGTCTGACTGAGGCGAGGTGGCGACAGGCGATGGACACTTCAGCAAATCGTGGGATTACCTGAGGTCCTTGGTGTAATTAAACAGATGCCAGGTGGGATTATTTCAACGCGTCGGGGAGGGAAAGTGACAGAGTGGCGGAAAGGTGTGAGGAGGAAAAGAGACAGCTCAGATAGTCAGGTTAGGACTGAGCAGGGAGGAGCTGCAGCGATCAGAGAGACGCGCGTAAAATCCGAGATGTTCAGTTTACGTCTTGTTTCATAAATATTTACAGAAATTAAATCTCTGATTTTTTTATTTCTCCTTTAGGATCAGCCATCTATCGTGTAAAAACAAGTTGTTTAATAAAATAAAATGCTCAATTTAATTATAGGCTCTAAAGCTTAATATTTACACTCTCGAGAAACACCAAAAGAACTGTTTCCATTTGCAAAGAAATAGTTCCTTCCGTGCTTTTTAACATCACCCACGCGCGTGCTCAAACATGCGCGCGCACACCACCCCAGTCTCTAAGTGTATGGTAATATAATGTAGCTATATTTCGGGTCTAAAGCCGCGCTGAATGAGAAGGACAGGGGAATGAAGCGAGAGACCACTTCAAACAAATCCATCTGGAACAGTGTGTGAGAGAGATTCAGTGAAAGTATGGGGAAGTTATTTAGCTATTAATAACGTTTTTTCCTCAGGCATTGAGAGTGACTCCATCTGCACTTTCTCGCAGCTATTTGGCTGGGTGGAAATTGAGGGAGACCCAAATGTTGGGCAGAGATAACATACCCATCATAGCCCAGACCTTGCGCTGTGCTTCACTGTATTAAACTCGGATTAACCTCCCCTGTCCCCGCAGCCACTCAAGCCACATTTCACTGGAATTTACATTGGTAGGCCCACATTTCTCATAAAGGGGATTGGAGCTAAATAACACAACGTGGTAGATATTATTATTATTATTATTATTATTATTATTATTATTATTATTATTATTATTACAACACACACACACACACACACACACACACACACACACACACACACACACACACACACACACACACACACACACACATATATATACATATATTCTTTTTTATTTATTGTATATAATTATTTATATATTAATATTTTTATACATAAAACAAATTAGCACTTTCAGATTTACTTTGGTCAGATTTTGTGTTTCGTGACATCTCGCGAGACTTGCTTACAGGCTAACAGCTAGCTTTAGCTAAATCTGGCATTTTGGTTCCAGCAGGATAACGAGAGTAAACGTGAGCAACACACCAACATGAAGTCCCCTACTCATAAGTAACGAGCATCATTTTAAAAGAGCGTTTAAGCTGGTAGACCTAGCAACCCGGCGAGACATTTTAGAGTCAGGAGCTTTATGTGTCAACAGCATGAAGAAAAAAAAAGGAGTAGGCTTAAATTCACTCTGCACTGGCATTTGACTTTGATCACATGAGAAATATTCATGGAAGCACAAACACCAGCTCTGTCACCATTATCCAGGCTGACAGTGATACCTCTCAAGGCTGTCTATTAATTAAAGTTGCTCTTACCATGTGGGACGACTTCCTATCTGGGCACAAAAATGGTTTTTCCATCTCTTGTGGGGCTCTTGAAAAGGGGCAATCTTTCCTCTCCAGCTTCTTGTGGGAAATTTAAAAGTGTACAGAGAAAGACATGCGGATTTCTAGCTCATTTATAAAGACGGAGTTTATAATCCTTTCCTGCTTAATAACTTAAAAGGATTCAATTTCTCCCCTCATTTGTGGGGTTATGATCACACATTGTTAGGCGCAGATAGCAGCGTTTCAAGGTTAACGTTTCCTGCTCCGAAATATCGGAATAAGCTGTAAACCCATAGGTGCCCTTTGTTTGCCCCCCCAATCTGCCTATTTTAGATGTTGTTGCTTTTAATGTGATAACAGTGACGACGCCATGAAGTCGATAAGATGCCTCTTCCCCTCGATATTTGAAAAATTATGTGATATTTAATTATAGCATATAATGTCACCATCGAGAATTAAATTCAGTGGGTTTACGCTGGCTCCGAGGATTGAATGACTGGTTGGGGGTCTCAAACCATACGAGACAAATTAAAGAGGAAGCGCTGCCCTCCAGGTATCCTGTCACAACAGTAGAGTGCTCCAGCGCGTCTCTCATTTCCGTCTGTGTTTTATTCCGCCAATTTTCACTATTGAGGCTCTGAGATCCCGCGCCATGCCTGCAGGGCTGCAGGCCAAAAAGAAATAGAAAAATCTCAGTTTTTCATCTTCTCCTTATTTTATGCTCCACAGCTCTTTCTTCTTTCTCTCGTTCTCTTCCAACCTCATCACACATTTGTGTCAACAGGTAAAGAAGATATTATTAGAGCAGAAAAGATTAAAAAAAGCTTGGTTTAGATAAGTCAAAAGAAGTTAATTTAAAAAAGATGTATTTCAGTTATATTCATTTTAATCTAATTATAAATAATACATTTTTATTTTAAAGGTATTTTATTTATTTAAATTATTATTATTATTATTACTTCTACTCATGTTGCCTTGAGCATTAGCATTCCCCCCTAGCAGTTTAATATATTCCCCCAAATTGCCAGTGCTTTGTTAGCATTAATGTTTAATTGGCTGGAAGAAGATGAATGAGGCTGACAGGAATCAGCTGTCCACAGATTCCCCTGTGAGTCTGACTCGGAAATCATAACCTGACCAGCTTTTCCTCCTCTGAAACCGGCTCGTTGAACTTGTCACATCTAATTAGGGTGTTAGAACACACTCCGAGTTTCAGTGGGAAACAGTAGGTGGTTGGTCCGGGGCAGCCAATAAGGCCTTTTTGGGTCAGATGGTGGAGGAGGGAGAGGTGTGTGTGTGTGTGTGTGTAAGCCTAGTTGGATGTTGTTGAACTGAACCGCTGTGAGCTTTTTATTTCTAAGCAGCCCCCATTTTTCCGCTATTACTTCAATTACGGCCTTCCAGCAGGCTAAACAGGCCAGCGACGCATGGACTGTGGCCTTGTTTTAAATAAG